TGTTCGGCCATCAGTTACTCCAAAACCTACTCGGCCCCTAGCCTTCGATCCGTCGGTGTATCGGAGTTGGTGGTTATGGTACATCGTTCTCAGTCGCTCGGTGAGGCAGGTTCTCATTTCCGCCGAGTTGTCCCCTGCTCTGAATCGGTTGGCCATGGTTCTATCTGATCGGATGGGGGAGGCATCCCACTCCCTGGCTCCGACCCAGTGGAGTTTAGACACCGGAGGGAGCTCCTGGTGGGCGGTCTCTTGGAGAATTCGTTTCCCCTCCGAGAGGAGATAGAAATCTCTGTCTCCGCTGAGTTGCTCGTCGAGTCCCACGGCTCTCGTACAAACCGACTCCGCAATGAAAAACCGGAACGGTAGTGTTCCGGTCTCAATGCATGCGGCGTCGGCTGGTGTTGATGGCAGTAGACCGGCTGCAATCCGAGTAGCCTGGTTGTATATCGGTGCAAGACGGGAAATGATGGAGTCGCTGGACGCGCATAGAAGTTCGATTCCATATGTCAGTCGGCTGTGGACGATGGATCTGGCGGTGTTCATCACAATACCTCGGTTGTTCACCTTGTTTGGACTGGATAGGGAGCGAAGGATGTTTAGTCTTGTTCGACAGTTGGCCTTGACCTCGTTGAGGTGGGGGCCGAACCGGAAGTTTCGGTCAATCGTGACTCCTAGTATGGAGATGGATTTCCTCCTGGGGATTGCCTGCTTGTCGATCCTAATCGGGGTCGGTAGTGGCCGGTGACCATGCCGGCAGACATGGGAAACCGAGCTTTTCTCGGCTGATATCGCAAAGCCTGTCGTGGCGGCCCATCTACCAACCGCAGAAACCGCCGCCTGCAATTTTAACTTCATTGCTTTTAGAGTTTTCCCGACTACTAGGAGCAAGATGTCGTCCGCATACACCAGGATGTATATTTCCTTTGGCAGTCCCACAAAGATTCCGTTCATTGCCACCAAGATGATGGTGACAGCAATTACGGAACCCTGTGGAACTCCAGTCTCCTCTCGCCTGGTGTTGGATCGATGATTACCGATGGTCACCTGGAATGTCCTGTCCTGTATGTAATTCCTCAGGAAGTAGAGAATATTTCCTCCAAGACCCCATTTGGACAGTTGGTGTAGGACTTGTGGTGTCCATGCCCTGTTGTAAGCCTTAGCCAGATCCAGGGAGGCCAACTCTACGTGTTGGTCCTTACGGAGTGCCTCCTGGACGATCTGGCCGAGGCTATTAAAATAGGTGCCGGTTCCGTGGATTGGTATTTCTCCTTTACTTCGACGACGTTCACCATGTTATCACAGGGCCACGATTATCGTTTGCAGACGATCTGAAAGTTTTTCTGCGCATCCGCTCACTCGCCGACTGCCGTTTTCTCCAAAATCAGACTGACTGGTGGCCAACCCAGCTAAGTGTACCATCATTACTTTCTCACGCAAGAAACAACCGATTATTTTCAACTACAAACTTCTAGGCATCGAACGGGTGCATTGCGTGAAAGACTTAGGCGTTTTTCTAGACTCAAAGCTGACATACTCACACCATATATCGTATGTCGTCGACAAAGCGTCCAGAACTCTTGGTTTTGTTTTCTAGATTACTAAGAACTGCTTGAAGTCGCTCTATTGCTCTCTCGTACGATCTACGTTGGAATACTGCTCTACAGTCTGGAGCCCGAACTACAATAATGGGGCCGAGCGAATTTAATCTGTGCAACGCGCTCCGTAAGCTGGCTTGGAGATACCCACTTCGTCTTCCAAGCTCCGAGAATCGCTGCCAATTGATCAATGTCGAGCCCTTACGTATCCGAAGAGATGTTTTCTGAGCCTTAACCGTCGCCGATAATCTGCAAGGAAGAATCGACTGCGAAGCAATTCTGCACCAAGTGCATATTAATGTTCAACCTCGATCACTACGCAACAGTCTTATGCTGAGACTTCCACTTCTTCGAACTTATTATAGCTTCGGAAGCGCTATTTACGGCTTGCCGAAAATTCTCTGCCTTTTTCGCTGACCGAAGGCGCTTGACGCCCAGCAGCTAAGTGTAAAATTTAAGACTTATACATTAAATGTAAATTTTTTTTAAGTAACTTGACAATGCTTTCCTAGTTATTTTCGTTTGTAACTTTAGTATATGTAGTCTGTATAATCTGTACTTTTTTTACAACACAACATTGGAACTATTTCTAGTCTGTTGATGCAAAAATAACAAATAAACAAATTAGTTAGTTAGACCGAGGTGGTGACCCAACCAGCGAATTTCGACTGTATAACGTATAGGACGTGAGGTCTCTCTTAGCTCAGATGGTAAAGGCGCAGCTACAAAGCAAGACCATGCTAGAGGTGGCTGGGTTCGATTCCCGGTCCGGTCTAGTAAGAATTTTTCGTGTTGGAAAATTTCTCGACTTCCCTGTGTATAGAGTATGATTGTACTTGCCACACAATTATACTAACGCAAAAATGATACAGGCATCGAAAGCTCTCAATTAATAACCGTGGAAGTGCATCTAGAACACTAAGTTGAGAGCACGCAATAAGCTAATATGCGATATGCAATAAGCACAGACAAACAGGCATAACACTCGTTAGTTGTTCATCGAACAAGCGTTTAACGGACAATTTAAAAGTATCGTAATTGGTAGTACCGCCACCTGTGGCGCGCATATGTAGTTAATTCTCTTGCGTTTAACGTTTACACACTACCGCCATCTGTTCAGTGTAGTGCCCACCACAGTGTACTCAACAGATAGCGGTAATGTTTTAGCGACGATGTTTTACAGTGAGAAATATGCAATGTGTTATGTCTGTTTGTCTGTGCAATAAGCTTGAAATGCGAAGAAGAAGAACGTATACTGTGTTACCTGACTTATAACGAATATACGTTGTATACGAGTACCCCGAATACAACGTATAGTTGGTCTAATTTTACATTGCAAATGCTACGAAAATTTAGACGAGTCATACGTTGTATTCGGGGAACTCGCATACAACGTATATTCGTCATAAGTCAGGTAACACAGTAGGATGAGAGTAAAACCGATTTTCGCTACTTAATGGGGGTTTCAGCTGTAACGATAATAAGTCTGATCGATAACTGGACAAGTAAGCGCGTTTCCTCTTATTAAAAAGTGTAATAAAAGAACACTATTACGTCAAATCGTTTTGTTGGCTTCGGTGCCAGTGTTCGGAAAATAATTCTCAAATCTCATTCATTGAGCCTCCCTTAGAGAGAGTAAACTCACGTGCGAATGTGGAAAATAAATCTCACGCTTGAGATGCTCATGCATTTTAACACACTCATGCTTACAACATTAAAAAAATAATCATTCCTGCTTAAAACTCATAAAAACGGTTAAAATATAAATTGATAGCATGCTTGGGCATGTTGGTAGTTTTCCATCCACTGATGCAATATCAACAGTAACAGCAATGGATAACGCCAAAATATAAAGCAATTAATTTTTGAACTTGTAAACTCACGGGGATTAATGTGCAGTTGAACTCATAGGCGAGTAAACCTAATAAAAAACGAACGATAACCCCAATGATAGAACTACTCCACAAAAGGTTTGGGTGATACCCTGAACACGTCGTTAAGCAAAATAATCATAGCGAATTCGTTATTACCGGATAATTTTGAGATGTGGGCGTAATTGCTTTTGTAAACAAATACGTCTATCGCCGATTTCTCGTAAATTGAAACTCAATCTCACGAACAAACCATACCAAATGATAGAGGAATCATTTCTCTACCTGTTTGTGCCGTTGCGAGAAATCGGCGATTGTCATGTTTGTTTACAAAAGCAATTACGCCCTAATCTCAAAGTTCTCCGGTCAGTTCCACCCTGGATCAGGTATCAAGATTGAGCCTGCTTGTTTTCTGACAAACGTCAGTTTGCTCGTTTGTTTTTAAAACCTAGTTCAGGTTCACACTGACAACAAGTTCGGTTTCGCACTGCGTTGGAACTGGTGTTAACCCCAATAATAAACTTGTTATTAGGAAACTCACGCATCAGATTTAAGTTTTTCCGAACACTGTTCGGTGCCCTTATTCCTTATGAAGCAAGAAATAAGTGCTCCAAAGACAATTAAACGATTTCCGTCCTACTAAGCACAACCCGTAAAGCGTGGGTTCTGTTCTGAACGAGTTTAAACAAAAAATGGAATATTTCTGTCAAAGATGACCTCTAAATTTATTCACCTTTACCTACGTACCTTTGGATTTGATAAAAAGTTACAAATTGTTGAGATATTGTTCAAAATCTAATACTGCTTCTTGATGCTTAATTCGTTCTACGAGTTTCAATTCCGTCCTAAATGGTCCTAACGCATTGAAACGCCATTAGATTTTCTTCGTCCTACGGATAAACGTAGAACAAGGGGATTCGCTATGATCGTTTTTGTTTTGTTTTGAGAACAATGAGCGTAAATATTCATACAATGCGCTCAAATAGGATTTATGTTATAGCTAATGAACTAACGCATCTGAACAAACCTATTATTGTTTTGTGCATGGTGAAATCATTGATATTATTGATCTTTTCTGATCGATAGAACGGAAATGGGCGAGTACGACGAAGTAATGCTCTACCCTATGTGCACTTTTTTGCATTTTTGGAGCAGTCCAGTTTTAGTTTCAACCAACAATATGACGTTTTTTAGTTGCAATTAACAATATGAAGTCTGTTTTATAAAATCATCAAACATTTTAATTGTCCGATTTTCAACTTTTCATAACGGTACTGAATAATTTATTATTAATAATTATTATTCTGAAAACAATCTGGCAACACTGTTGCCGTGAGAGATCAACCCGAGCCCGATGAAAAAGCGTTCACCTATCGCTTCGCCTGTCACACACTCACACTCCGACCAAAAAACCCACCCACATTTACATCGCTCCGGAGACCGGACGGACGAGGCCCTTTTGGTCATCCACCCCGGATGGCTGGGCTAGGAAAATTTCCCAAAACTTATCGCTATTTTCCCTACCAAACCTTACATTTTTTGCCGGAATTGCATTCGCACACCATTCAAGGGACACTTAATTCACTTTTTCAGCTTATTTCGCTCGGTTTGGAATCGATTTTGCACCCGAATTTTCACCGTAAAAATCGAACACTCGTAGTGCGTTTTGCTTTCTACCGTCACCAACATCACACCACTCACCACCACTACGGGAGCGGATCGATTTTCTTTTTCTTTTTTTTTGTTGGGTGCCTTAAACGTGTGAGTGTTTTGTGTTTGGAAAACATCAAGCCGGTTTTTTGTTATAATATCTAGATCAGTGTCGGTGTGCCTTTGCAGCAGAATGTCATGCAAATCCCGCCCAGCTACTCCCGCATACTTAACTCTACCAAAACATGTTTTTACTGGATGTGCTGTTGAACAAGGAGTGAATTTTGCCCAAATTTAGCGAAATTTTCGAATTTCAATAGGATAAATCTAACCATCATGAAAAGAAAGGAAAAATCCGAAAGTGAAACTGGATTCGAGGGATGGGTAAGCAGTTGGTTTTGTCGTTTTTGGACTCATAAATTTGTTATCCGAATAGTGGCGCGAATGTACTCTACCGTCGCATTAAGTTACTTTGAGACAATCTATATAAATTTAAAAAAAAAACTTCCCATCATTTCCGTAGGGCGACTACATGGGTGCCAAAATATCCAAACTGGAGGACCAATTTCGTCACAGTGCCGCAAGCGCGGGCGAAAAGCTATCGGATCTATTCGCCGGAATTTCAATCTTCGTCAATGGCTACACCAATCCTTCGTCCGACGAACTGAAGCGGCTCATGATGCAGCATGGTGGAATTTACCATCACTACAAACGCTCAACCACGACCTACACCATTGCCTCAAATCTTCCCGATGTCAAGGTGAAATCGATTACTTCCGAGGTGATCATCAGTCCCCAATGGGTAGTGGATTGCATCGAACAGAAGCGAATCGTAGACCATTCCAAATATTTGCTGTACTCCAATCATAAGCCTTCGCAACCGAAGCTGGCATTTGGGAGACTCGACAAGAATGTCGATATCCAGAAGCCGGTAGCGAAACCGGACGGAAAAGACGATATAAGCAAGGATGAATTTATGAGCCTGATGAGCAAGTTGCATGTACTGAATGAGAAGATCAAGGAATCGGCGAGTGCTGAGAAGAAATCCTCTACGGACGAAACTAAGCCACTCCAAGAAGAATCGAAACAAAACGAAATTATCGGCGAAGCGGAAATCGCAAGAATGGAGGAACAGGTCCTATCCGAATCCACAGAGGTTTTCGACCAAAACCCCACACCGGAAGAACCAACCACTAGCAAGGCGGATGTATCCGTTAACGATTCGAAAAAACCGTCTCCGCGTAAGACCATGAGAGCAACCGATCCCAATTTCCTCGCCGAATTCTTCAACAACTCCCGTCTGCATCACATAGCGACCCTGGGAGCAGGCTTCAAACAATACGTCGGAGAGTTGCGAGAATCGCACGATGGCTCGTTCCCGGAGCGAGAAACCCTGCGTCGCGCGCTACCCAAATCAGACGACCTCGATGGACCACGTGGTCCATTCATCATGCACATCGACATGGATTGTTTCTTCGTATCGGTTGGCTTGCGGAAGCATCCTCATCTGCGGGGGCAACCGGTGGCCGTGACGCATTCGAAGGGATCCGATGCGGGCAAGGTACAGTCCCGTCCGGGACAGAACCGTTCTCTGGAGATCGAACTGTACCAGAAGCGACTGGAGGAAAGGTACAAGACACCGGATATTCCGTACGAGTCGCGGCTGCTCAATATGGACGATAACAACTCGATGTCGGAGGTTGCATCCTGCAGCTACGAGGCGAGAAAGATGGGCGTCAAGAATGGGATGTTTGTCGGATCGGCACTGAAGCTGTGCCCGAAGCTGAAGACGATTCCGTACGATTTCGATGGATACCGGGAGGTGGCTTTCACGCTGTACAATACCATTGCGAGGTAAGTGCTTGTATGCACTTCTGTAGAAGGTATTGGAAAGAAGTTTAAAGGGCTTCCGTCGAATGTTTGAAGTGCTTGAAGATATGGAATGTTCAGAGAACTTGTTCTAGTCTTGTAGGCGTTGTTACGCAGGGACTTCTAGGAACGGTGTAAAGGACTTGATATGTATGTTTAGACAGCTGTTAAAGAAACATTATTCACTAAAATTGCAAAGGACTTTTAGCGGAAGTTCTGATGACTGTTAAAAGATGTGAATGCAGAAAAAAAACTAAATTGTTCAAAGGGTGTCCAGAGGAATTTCAGAAGTCTTCTTGTAAGATAAGTTTTCATAGCACGAACTCCTTACAATGTTTAAGAAAAGCATTGTAAATTGAAAGGCTGTTGACTCTTTTGGAGTCCCACCCCCGCGCACAAGGACGATGATCAGCCGCCCCTAACATGGCGAACAGACGCTTGGGTTATATAGGCCACGTTCTCCGGAGAATGAAGCACTCCCCCCCTCTCCACCAAGACACAACCAAAGTTACACCGGAATTGGTTACCCGATCTTTCATATAGGATACTGGGCAGGAAGCTAAGGACCACTACTTGGGGTCTATGTGAAGGGATCTATCACGTAATATTTCTAAGCGGTGTTTTTTTCTTAGAGCAAACCGGATTACTTTCCGAGGAACCTTACAAAACAACTCCTTTGATAATCTTATACGTCATCTTGAAGTGGCGTCCCGTAACCTCACTTTTTACCTGGGCACAAACTTTCAAAATAAGATTTAATGCCATATTCATACTCGAATCTGTTGAAAATACATTTAATCATCTAGTTTACTCGATATCTAGCCATTGCAAGCAATATTTTGATAATTTATTGTTTATGTTTTGAGAGTTGATGCACAGGTAGATTGAGGTTAAGAAAACGCCACTGATCTTCCCTAGAAACATTGGAGACCTTTAAGTTAACATTCAAAAATATTCGATTGAATAACACAAAACCGTCCAGAAAATTTCGGAGGAAAGTGCAGATGGAATAGACACAGACAAACAGACATGACACATTGAATATTTCTCACTGTAAAACCAAGGGGGGGAGGTGGCTGTCAAATACGAACAAACGTCGCCTACCTCGCATGCCTCGCATAACTGGTTCCAAAGGTAAACAAGCCATAAGAAACCTACAGCGATTGTTTACGTTTGGAGCCAGTTTCATACAAGAATGATCAGTAGGCTGATTTGACAGCACGTCCCCCCCCCAGTGTAAAACATCGTCATTAAAACATTACCGCCATCTGTTGAGTACACTGTGGTGGGCACACCGCTGAACAGATGCCGGTAGTGTGTAAACGTCAAACGCAAGTGAATTGACTATGCGCGCCACAGGTGGCGGTACTACCAACTACGATACTTTTAAATAGTCCGTTAAATGTTTGTTCGATGAACAACTTGCGAGTGTTATGTCTGTTTGTCTGTGGAATAGATATTCTTAAAAAAGCAGCAAGAAATATTTCGAGAGGAAGTTCTAGGGACTTCCAGTGCTATTAGAACTTTTATAACAGTTCTTCCACGGAAAAATTGATCAAATTCCTGGGAAGGTTTGGCGGCTTTCAGAGATCATATTGAAATTTCCAGCTTCCTTCTTGCATTTTTTTAGGAAAAACCTCATTCTCTTCGATCTTCCCCCCAGGTACACCCTGAACATCGAAGCGGTCAGCTGTGACGAGATGTTTGTAGACCTGACCGACCTGATCCAGGACATCGGTGCCGACGACGTGATGGACTTTGTCGGCTTCGTCCGAGAGCAGATCAAGGAATCCACCGGCTGTCCCTGTTCGGCCGGCGTAGGGGCCAACCGTTTGCAAGCCCGCATGGCCACCAAGAAAGCCAAGCCCAACGGGCAGTACTACCTGGCACCGGAGACGGTCGGCGAATACATGCGCGACATTCCGATTAGCGAATTGCCGGGCATTGGGCCCAGTACGACGTATCGGTTGAAGCAGCTATCTTGGAACACCTGCGAGGATCTGCAGATGGTTTCCGGTGCCATTTTACAGCGAGAGTTTGGGAAGAAATTTGGCGATACGATCTATCAGGCCTGTCGAGGAATTGATGAGCGTCCGTTGGTGTACGAGCAAGTTAGGAAATCGGTGTCCGTGGATGTAAACTACGGGATTCGGTTTAAAGAGGAGGCCGAGGTTGAGCGGTTTATGAAACAGCTGTCTGAGGAGATTCATAAACGACTGAACGAGATCAAGAAGCGTGGCAAGTTGATAACGGTAAAACTGCTGGTTAGGGCATCGGATGCACCGGTTGAGACGGCCAAGTTCATGGGCCACGGACTGTGCGATATCATTACCAAGTCTTGCCCGTTGAAGGATTTCACGTGCGATTTGGCACTAATTGAGAGGTCGGTATTGGCTTTGATGAAGCAGATAGCGGCACCACCCCATGAGCTACGGGGGATAGGGCTACAGATTTCCAAGTTCGAGGAGAAGAAGGCTCACACGGAGTCGAAGAATTCTTTGAAAACAATGTTCGAGAAAGCGGCGGCGAAGCAGGAGTCGGCTGTTCGGTCAGAGCAACCATCCGTATCGAAGCTGGAGGTTACGCCAACCAAAATCGTATTGATTTCTGCTGCCCGGACAGAAGTGACTCCAAAGAGGAAATCGGAAACAACACCGAAGAAGCTGAAACCGGCGGCGCCTAAATTCGGTCGCGGTCGCGGTCGGCCACCAAAGCACCTATCGTTGAACAAGTCCAAACAAAGCAACGATATGCTGCGGTTCCTCAAGGAGGGTAAGGCGGACTCCAGGGCAGAAGGAATCCCCGAAGGTTTGGATGCAGAATTCCTGGCTGCCCTACCGGACGAAATCCGTGCCGAGGTAATCAAAGACTACAAAATTCAAGCTAGAAGCCATAAAAGTGAACCGGTTCAGCAACTCAAACCGAGAGAACCTTCCCCGAAACCGTCCACGTCCTCGAATCGGGTAATCGAAGAAGCGCCATCCGCTACCGAGAAAATCAGCGTGGATTTGAAATTCCTTCAGGCTCTGCCGCCGGAACTCCGTCAGGAAGTCGAGAGGCAAATCGAACTGCAGAAGGATACCATGGTCATAACCAGCAGCGAACCGGAGTTCTACGAACGTTTGCAGGTCACGCCGGAGTCTAGCCCGGCGAAGGAACTTCCGCCACCTCCGGAAAGTGTTGAAACGAAGGAACCGGAAATGGGGCCGAATATTCTGCTTCGAGCGGACTGGCGCAACATGCTGTCGTCGTGGGTTGACAGCGCCGATGAGCCGGAAGACGTGGACGTGGATATGATTGCAGCCAATGCCAGGGAGCTGGTGGATGGCAAACGGTTGTGCGAGGTTCACCTGGCGTTACGATTTATGTTTCGGATCTTAGAAGAACGAGCGCTTTGCCCATGGCATCAGGCTTACTTTAGAATTGTAGATGCGGTTCAATTGGGAATGCTAGAAGTTTATCGCACCAAATTGGCCGTAAATAGGGATTTTGGCTGCGGTAATGCCGATTGTTGCAATGCTAAGGAGTAGAGGAAGTCCTTTTGAGTCCCCTTTGTTATGTTTGGAAAGTTCTAATAAACAGTTACTGCAAATACGTAAATCATTTTATTCTTAATACGCTTACTTAAGTTACTTTTGGTCACCAAAAAAAATCAAACCTACGCATCCTTCATGACCCGCTTACGCATCTCTTCTTCCCACTCGACCGGATGGACAGTTTTTCGGTGCATGTACTGCTTGTTCTTGGTGTTGAACCGCTCCGGACAATGATTGCAGCCGTACAGATTCTCCCCGGTATGATGGATCGCTATGTGTTCCTACGAGAAAAAAAAATGATGCGAATTTTAAATAACCTTTCCACGCAAGCACCCTCCCAGTCAAAACTAACCCTCATATGATGCGGCCGTTTGAACTTTTTGTGACACATTTCACACTCGAACCGGCTCTCGGTGTGCGCCCGGCGCATGTGGCAATTTAGGGCGTCCTGATTGCGCACCTGTTTGCCGCACAATTCACACGATAGTGCCACGTCTGGTTGGATGTGCATCCGCCGGATGTGCTTCGTCAGGCAGTACTTGTCCGTCAACCAAACGGAACACATACTGCACTGGACCCGGTTCTCCGTCCGCGTGCCCAGATGACCCTTGACGTGCGTGTCGAAGCACTGCTTCGAACGGAACACCCGTGCGCACACTTCGCACACGTGCTGCTCCCCGTCGCCGTGCATCGCTACCAGATGCTTTTTAAGTGAACCTTGCGATGCCAGCAACTTGGGACACTGCGGACAGGGGACGGATCCATGGGCCACCATGATGTGCGCGTTCAGGTGGGCATTGGATACGAACGGCTTCAGGCAGGTGTCGCACTTGAATGGACGACTTTCGTTCGGTGAGTGAACTTCTTTGGTGTGCTCTTTCAGCACTTTGCTGGAACTGTAACTCTTGTTACAGATATCGCAGTGGAATGCATCCGGATTCAGGTGCAGCTGAATGTGTTCAACCATCCAGCATTTTTTAAAGATCTTCTTGTTGCAGCATTTCAAATACCCCTGCTCGTCGTGGACGTACTTGTAGTGTTTGCGCAACTCCGTAAAATCCTCTAGCGGTTCGGAGCACAAATCACAAGAAAGCTTATAATGCTGCAACACAAGTTCATCGATCGAAGGCCCATCCGTCTTCGATTTTGGTTTTTGTTCTCCCTTCTCTATTTTCGCCTTCTTAGGAGTACTTTTCCTCGGTTTGTACTTTCGCTTCGGTTTCACATCTTCTATAAACTCATCGTCTCCGACGCTTGGCTTCTCATCCGACTCTGAGTCGTCAGAATCTTCCCCATCATCATCATCTTCATCATCATCGTCGTCGTCCGCTTCTCCGAAAATGCCCAACGGAGTCCAGTCTTGATCCACCTTCTCATCCGCAACCATATCTTCAGTAGCCACTTTAGCTTCTTCCCCTCCTCGATCCGCTCCAATAGTAGCTTCACAATACGTATCCAAACCCATCCATTCCGCATCGTCGGGCTCCTTCTTGACCACGTATTCCATCTTGATCAAACCACCGCTTTCTCCCATCTCCAAGGTTTCGTAGGAAGCAACCATTTCCAGTGAGCTGGACGACGATGTCGGAACTAGCGCGGTTCGTAGAAATTCCTGATTCTTTTGAACCTGCTCGGCATAATCGTAAAATCCGCTGACCGTTGCCTTGCAGGCATCGCAAACCACGGTCGGAATGTCCCGATTACGCGCGACCTGCGAAAGCAAAACAAAAAACATTCACAGCGCTGCCAGACACTCATCAAACAGAAAACCCACCTGAAAGTAGAAAATTTTGTCGATTTTCTTACGGAAATCCTCGTCCTCCAGAGCCATCGGGGTGCTGTTCGGGTTCTGGCCCAGGCAGAGACGGCAAGTCTCTGCCATGTCCATTGTGCCTTTCGATTTCACTTTGGCAGTAGCACTCCCTGGGGAGGAAAAACACTCATCTAGCGTTACGCAACTGAATGGGAAATTCGCATCGATTGAGTTAGAAATTTCATCATTACCTTAAAATAACTGTGCCACCGTGTTGAGAGACGTAATTTGGGAATACCTACAAGATTTTAGCGTTAAAATTGCTGAATATTTCTATGAGCAAATTGAAAATCCCGACAACTTTATGTTTTGTTGTTTGGTGTCGCCAATCGCCATCACTGTCATTAGTTTTGTGAGTGTGTGTGTGTCGAGGCTGAAAAGCGTTCCCATGCAGCAGACAAATGGCACTATTAAAAGAAATTCAGGAAAGAATTTTCAAAAGAACCTACCGTTAACTCCCGGTAATCTGAACACTTTTTAGTTTGAACCCCGATAATCTGCACGCCCTAATAAAATTTGTATGGTTCTTTTGCTTAACGACGTGTTCCGGGTATCATCCAAACCATTTGTGGAATAGTTCAATAATTTGGGTTATCATTCATTTATACCCCGTACAGACTATGGCTTATTATGGATATTATCATGTAATATATGTTGTCTTGCAATGAGCACTCATACATCTAGTTTTCACTGAATCCTGATGAATGTGGGCTCTTAGTGGAATACCTGTATAATGAGAAAGAGAAGGATTAGTATTTTCCATTAATTCCACTACTTTATTTGCGTATCCTTGACAGATACGCGTATTTCGTCTACAATGTGCAGACTTCTTCAGTTTCTTGTACTAATACTCGAGTCGAGTTGTTTGTTTTGATTCGCTATGAAAGTTTGACAGATAAAATGAGGGGTTAGTGGATTTTCCTATGTTTCGAGGGGTGAATCGATTAGCTTGGGACCGAAGAGAGTACCAGAGCTGAGCCAAAATGTTGAGCACGTTATTTCGGGACCTTCTGGTCTTAGAGTTGGCCTCTATGGTGTTACGGTATTTTTTCTATTAGGGCGCCGTACAAACTAAAAATTGCTCAAACGTCATCTATTACATGGAATAGAGTAAGTGAAATGGAACGATACGAAACGGAACGCAGAATCAAAACAAAACAGCAAATAAAATATTGGTTTGATATTGTAATCCCAAGGATTTTCCACAGATCTGAACTGATTTGTACTTCAACCACCGACGAACCGTCATGCCACAGGAGCTTTTCGTTTGTCCACAATTCGATTTGTTAAACGAGCGATTCTAACTTTCAAACGGGCGATCAGATATGTCAAACGAGGTGAAAGGCAAACCATGGCAATATAAATTCTACGTGGGTTCGTGTCCTTGCTCATGATATGACGCGATTGGATGAGTAGATGGCGGTAATGTTTAGCGTATTTTAAATATGGCGTCTTGGGCAAGAATTTGAATGTTGGTTGTATGAGCTGTCACGTCGATTTGTCGGTGCTTCAACTATTCACACAAAAGAAATCCGTGTCATCAAAAATATTCCTAAACACCAGGATGCTTGCAAAAATGATACAGATTTTTTTTTTTTTCATTTATCAGGAAAAGTGAAAAAGACGTGTTCCTGAATATCAGGAAGCTTAAAGTAGTTGATGTTATCTCTTTTTCTCTAACGAAAATTGCATTGAATTCACTTCGGCCTATTGGATAAAGCAAAAATATGGATAAAAATTGATTCGGTCAAAGCGCTTAATTTTTTTTTTTTTTTTGAGAATATTGGGTACAAACCTCGGTACAAACATTCAACAGTACACGGAACCAAATTTTGTTCATTTAAATCAAAAATATAAATGTTCATTATATAAAAATATAAAGAGTTCAAAGTAAATTGAAAACACGTTTTCAACAAAAAAAATGTATGTTTGAATTAAATTCAAAAGCATGTTTATTTCAACAATACATATTCTGGGTAAACAATTTTCAGCGTGTCCTTTTTTCCTTGTTGTTTACATTCGGCAAACTCAACCGAAAACGGGCTGCAAGCGGCGAAACCGAAGTAGATGTTCTGGAAATCCACGTAAGTAAGTGTTCCAAGCTCGACAAAACCAGTTGAACCCCACAATATCAACGTCACTCCGTCGTTTCTGATGCCGATCCCTATTGAGAAATCCAACTTAAATCCCTGCGCGCCAGGTGGCAGGAATAAGCAATAACCGACGGTGATAAGTTTGTGACAGCCCTTGATAATTTCATAGATTGTTTTCAAAATTGTTTAATTTCAATGTAATTTCATGCAATTTTTTTGTCAGCATGGATGAACCTTGTACAAAATGCATAAAATTATTTTGTAATGCATTGTTCCTAAATAAAAAGCTACTTCAAGACAGTTAAATTACAGAAAACATGTTAAGGTTTGAAATCATCTGCCGATAAGGCAACAGACAAAGTTGGCCGACTAAATGCATCGACGAAAAACTATTAAATAGGCCGATTGCTCGGTGTAGCACCAGACGAAAAACGATTTAATCTGCTGATTAATACACCGACTGAAATTAATTTTTAAGTGGCAATAGATTTAGTCGGTGAACGAATCGGGTGATCTGGATGATGTATGTTTATTTGGAAGATATTTTCGAAACAAAGCACGATAAAATTCAGAATTATATACCATTATTACGAGTACTACTTTTTTGCTCGGATCGTGTTTTGACTCCCACAGAAACTCGCTAGAATAAATACAAAATAATAGTTTTTTGGTTGAAATTTCAAAAATTTATTCAGTTTGACACATTATTTCGGACTTATCACCGCTGCGATTGCAGCGCCACGGTAGCCGATTGAAACTTGGATTTTTCAATTGGATTTTACAGGATTTTACCATAGGAGTAAAGAGCTATACCTGTATACAGAGTCACCGTCAACGCCAATAAACAACGACGATCGCAGGGGGATCTGTCATTTTCAGCGATGTGGAAGTCATGGTTGCCAGTAAACATTGTATGTTGCCGCTTGACATTTTGACAGCTCATTCGACACAGAAACACCCTGAAACACCCAAAAACATACAAGAAACACAATCAGCACAGTCACAAGGTGGTAGAGTGACTTACCCTCTGTCTGTGGTGGAATCATTCGAATCGGTGGAACAGCCGTAAATCGAAAATATTAAGCCGATGATGCCGTATCGGTCATGGGTTGATTTTCCATATTAGGAGATCGAACCAGAGCGTTAGACTGGGTCATTTGTAATAGAGTCGGTGTATAATGAGTCACGCCAAGAGTGAAGCCAAGTCTACCTATTGAACTGTCAAACTGGCTACCTATCGTGCAAAATAAATAAACATTACGATGCTATGAAAGCTACACGAAAGGTATTGAAATAAAATATAAAATTTAATCGAAGAAATGACCATAAACACGCAGTGAGAATTTAAATTGTAATTAGAATCGTATGGTAATGATCAGTAATGAGAATTTGTAATATACGTTGCTGATTTAATCCGACAAAATCACTAATATAATAATTTACTGCAGCCGGTAATTTAATTTCTCGCTAGAAGTCATTTGAAGTTAATGCACAAGTCCTCTGTTGCCAAGTGAAAGGGAAGGGAATCTCTCAAAAACCGTGATGCGAGTTCCACTGTTTTTCTCTTGGCGTGACTCATTATACACCGACTCTAATTTGTAAGAATGAGTTTCATTCCACTGAAAATTACAAACAAGTTTGAACAACTCTTGAGGTAATGTCCTGGATAATGTAATGCATAATTACCTGGATACTAGATTAATTCAATCCGTTGAGTCAAGTTTGTCCAAATCTGGTGCTCTGAACTATGATGAAGTCCAACATTGGCCCTGCGAAACATCTTCAAGAATGTCGGAAGCTAAAAGCGATAATCTGCGGTTCCGGTTCTGCAAAGTTAAAATTAATGAAAACTAAATATGCGATCATTCCCCAAAATTCTCACTTTAATGATTTTCTGCCTGGTAAATCCGGTGGAAGCTAGGGTGGAAGCAAAGTGAGTGAAGTGTAAACTCAATTTCCATTCAATTGGAAGCTACTTCGCCTTGTTTTGTGTCGCTCGTTAAATTTAGCGCCAAACCGAAGTCCAGTGCTGCCAAAAACATCGCAATGAAGAAGTATTTTTGACAGTTCATCAACTTTTATTTTAAAAAAATCACTTTTAAAATTACGAGTTGAAAAGTAAAAGAAACACTTTTAAATCAAAAACTTTCGTTTTGAATATTTTCAATGTTAAAACTACACAATTTGGAAAACTTTTAATTTAAAATTGCATTATTTTTATAGCAAAAATATTTGTTGTTTGTGTGTACGTATACGTAACCCTTGGATTCCGACCAGCAGCACCAGATCGGATTCTTCACAGGCTCAGAATTCAGTCAAAACTGAAATGGAAATTACGATGGTTCCATCGTTCCATTAAGGTGATACGGCACGTCATGTAACAATGGCTGTCCCCACAATCATTAAATAAACGTGTTTTGGTATGCGTACGAAAGACATCTTCCTACAAAATAGTAAATTACTAATTACATACCTTAAAAAATGGGCCGAAATTGTATGCATAAGATCTGGATACATATTTTTACACTTTTTCACCAAAATATTACCAGTTCATTCACGCATTCGCAATATTTGCATGAAAAAGTACGATCAGTCGATTTTGTTCTACTCTGGGCATGTAATTTAAATAACTGTTTTCACTAGCTTCCACTTTTCAGAACCACACTAAAAACAATAACGATACGTGCTTCTACAAGCTCTTTCAATTTAATTCACTTTTAAATATGATATTTACTTGAATAATATCATTTGCATCGTTAAAAACGCGAGCCGCGAATAATTTTGTAAGCTGAAATTGTTTTGTTTACCTTTTTTCTACACACCAAATTACGAAGGTGTGTGTGCAAATCATCTATCATCGTATCCAGTGTTGTCAATTAAATTGAAACAAAGTGTTTAAAAACAATGTTTTTATTGCTTTTGAAGGTTCTTCAACTGTGTGCAATTTATAAACCATCACTTATAAATATTAAAACAATTTCTTATTTTTTTTCAAGAAAAGAAATTGAAGTAAATAAACCTACAAATCTTCTATAGAGAACCTATTTGTCATTCTGGTTGCACTGGTCGAAGCCATCAGCTGATATTAAAAAGGCGGGAATATAATGATGCAAAATCATAAACATACACGATAAGAAAAAACGTACCTAGCGGCCAGTTCACATTTACCTACTTTTTACTTTGAGTATAATCACGATCATATTCGCCTACTCCTAGGTATAACTGACTTACTTTTGGGTAGAAAGCGAATTTTCAATTCCATAAGATTTGAACACAAGTAAATGAAAACTACTTTGACTCACTTTACCTACTTTTGGCTTCCTGTAATAAAGTGACGAGATCTGTGAAAATAACTTACTTTTGGTACTTTTTTCTTACCATGTACCTGGAGGTATGAGTGCTGGAAACATTTTTGGACCGGTCGTGTATAAACAAAGTATACAAAGTGTGGCTTTGAATTATTACTACTACTACTACTACTATGATTACTTGACTTGGTTGGCCTTGGTGGCTAGGCGTATGATATTTTTCTGTATAGAAAGGGATGTCCTTGGGAGGTGGTAGATCGTTAATTTTGGCAGATTGAATAGAAATGTAGTAATGGTGCCAATAATGAATGATAAATAGACATTCGACCTATTAATAACGAACTCTAGCAGCTATGTTTACGGTAGTTGCGACAGTACATGATGTACACCCACACCCCTACAGCATCAATGATAATCATTTCACTGACACATAGAAACGAGAGAAAAAAAAAGCAAAAAAAGCGTGACGTATCGTATCACCTTAATCCATTGGTATTAATTTTAAAACAATATATGTTACATTACTTGTTGGTTGAAAGTGTCTTTTTCGATTATATTTGCCCACCTGAGGCCACAAAACTACCCACGAAACTAAATGACCGAAATCGATATGAAAACAAAAAATTAAAGACCGGATGGAAAAAACATTATGCGCACCAGCGCAATATTTACCTTGACAAATACAAACTGAACGATTTCTACGCCTTCATCCCGACTAAGTATAATTTTGAATTTAAATTATAATCAACCCGTAAAAAAAAAGAACCGTAGAGGTACAATGAAATGTATTGTAACCATACAATAGAGTTTATGGTATTTACAATAAATCGTATTCTCCACAACGATAAAATAACAATAGAATGTATTGTTTCTACAATATAATCAATGGTAAATGGGGGAATATACAATAGATTAAGGGGGTCGTTATGTATCTTAACCATACGAAAAATCACTATTTCCCGAACAAACTTGAACCATTTACCATTAATTGTATTTTTGTTCTATTGTTGAAAACTCTTACTATATGGGACGTATTGTACATCTATTGTAATAACAATATGTTAAAACTTCGTGTACTATATACACACAATAAGATCGATTGTTGGCAATAGATTTACTTGTAACTGTATTTTATTTTATGGTAATTGTATGGTTATTTTTTCCGGGAAATCAATGTTTAAATATTGATAAAACATAAAATGATTAGTTTTTAATCTCTCTATGTTTAGTAAAATTTCTGAGTGTATTCGTACCGTGTGCGGAAATTCTTTTATGCTGCATGGGTTTTCTGCTTGACGGCTGCCAACTCAAAGTTGGTTCTACTTTATCGGTAACAAACAGTGATCCGAAACGAAGCGTAAACATCTTTTGTGGAATCGGCGTTTTTCAGATTCAACTTTTCTAAAAAAATCTTGAAAAAAGTAACTTAAGCTTAAGGGAGCTAAAGTTCTATTCGCCTGGTAATAGATAGTTTTAGTGTTGCGCAAGAAATTGCTAAAAGTTCGGTTCACTAGCAACTTTCATACGACCGACTGGTGTTGTGTAACTTGATAGGGAAGTGAAAGTATATCGTGCGGAAACTACTGATTGATTCTTTTTGGAACCGGAACTAAAATGCCTGCAAAATGCCGCTTATGCCTGTCCTACTGTCCTCCCTCGTCGGTGGAGAACGACGATCTGCGTCGGGTGGTCGATAAGGTTTTCTACTTCAAGGTACGGGGGAATTTATTTACTAGATGATTGAATTAACGCTGTTCAAACTCCGTAGATTTTCCGAAGTCAAGATGATCCAACGTTGATCTGCGAAACCTGCAAGGAGACGGTAGATGGATTCTACGAATACGCCGAGAGCGTATGGAAGAATCAGCAGTTCCTGCGGGAGAGTTCGATTCCTTCAACCAGTAGCAACAATCAAGTCGTTACGAAGCTTGAGATCGATCAGCAACTGGGTGGATTTCCTAGGGAACAAAAGCTTGCCAAGAAGGTGAAGGTAGAAGAGGACGAGGAAGAAGTTTACGAGGTAGAAACATATGTGGAAACAAGTTATGAAAATGCGGATGATGGAGAAATCGATGTTAAGACTAATCGCGTATGGATGACAGAGGACGACACTGAAGAGGTAGATGAGTCGGATGAGGCAGAGGGCGATGCGGATGAGAAGCATGATGAAACGATTGTATTCGAAATCGAAGAAGTAGATGTAGACAGAGCACCCAAACGAAAATATACCCCAAATAATAGAGTAGAAAAAACGGCTCCAAAGTCGGATCGTGAAGAGCAACTACTACAGCATTATAAATTGAGCTGTGATTTGTGTTCGGAACCGTTGGCTGGTTTCTCTGAACTGATGAGACACTTCAAACACGTTCACAACGAACAGGGATATTTGAAGTGTTGCAACAAGAAAATCGTAAAGAAATGCTGGATGATTGAACATATTCAGGTGCACATGAATCCGGATACGTTCCACTGCGCCATCTGCAAGAAGAGTTACAGCTCAAGTCGTGTTCTAAAGGAGCATACTAAAGAGGTGCACACGCCGAACGAACAGCGATCGATCAAGTGTGATACCTGTCAGAAACCGTTCGCAACGCAGCGTGCACTCAGCGCCCATTTGATGGTGGCTCACGGATCTGTTCCTTGTCCGCAGTGTCCCAAGTTGCTGGCCTCGCAGGGATCGCTGAAGAAGCATTTGGTCATGATGCATGGCGAGGGAGAGCAGTTTGTGTGCGACATTTGCGCCAGGGTTTTCCGCTCAAAACCGTGCTTCGATAAGCACGTCAAGATCCACCTAGGAACGTTTGAAGCTGCACGGGTGCAGTGCGGTTTGTGTTTCGCTTGGCTTACGAACAAGTACTGCCTGAGACAGCATATGCGTCGCATTCATACCAACGAGGACGAAGTGGTGACGTGTGAGGAGTGCGGTCGACCACAGCGCAATCAGGTCATGCTCAGACTGCACATGGGCCGGGCCCACGGAGAAAGTCGTTTCGAGTGCGACATTTGTCTCAAGAAGTTCAAACGGTCACATCACATGAGGGTGAGTTTAGTAACTGTTTGGATTTGATCTGCGTTTGTTGATGCTACGATTTTTTTTTCGGTTTTATAGGAACATAAAGCGATTCACCACACCGGCGAGGATCTTTACGGTTGCGACTACTGTCCAGAGCGGTTCAACAACAAGAACAAACAATGTTTGCACCGGAAGACGTGCCATCCGGTTGAGTTTGAGGAGGAAATGCGCAAGCGTGCTATGAAAGACATGTAGACTTAAGCCTAAGATTGTGGTTTGATGTGTTAGCTTCATACAGTAACAAACTATCTGTACCCGTACAAATGAGTCTATTTATTTTTTTCGAAACTTTCGCCTCAGCCAATCGACTCTTCGATGCAACAGCTCATCCGTGGCTCGATCTCACCCAGTCCCGAATCGCTGGTGCCCCCATCGTCAGTCACCACATCGTTCATAAAGTATTCATAGTTTGCCCAGTATGGATCTTCCTCGGTAAATTCGGCCCCTACTGTCGATGGTTGGTCACTTGATTCGTCCGCATCTCTGGAGCACTGCTTGGCGGCCACTCGCATCAGCAGTCGCTGCAACCGGGTTGGGTCGCATTTCAGCTCGATACCCAGCACAAGTGCCACTTCGCGATTCAGTTCCAACATTCCGGATGAACGTTGCTGAACGCAAACATTCCTCTTTCCAACGTTCCGGTTCAGTTCCCCCACCGATGTCTGAACGGCCATCTCGCGAACACGTGTGCTGTGGTACTTTTGCACTCCGACGTTCCGTTTTTCAACTTTCATGGTTTGGGCCGTGGCATCTTCTCGCAGCACGGTATCCGTATTGACCCCAGCGTCGGTTTTCATCTTTTTAGCCTCCTTCTGTGGAGATAATTGAATCTCAGCATCTTTCGTTTGGCGCTTCGACACGTTTGGCGATAACTGAACAGCGACATCCGTTTGGTCTGGTTTCGCAAATCCCACCTGTACCCCAAAATCCTTCGAAATGATCCCACCCCCTTGAGAAGCCTGAACTGCCGCCTCACTTTTCTCAGTGCCCTCCGTATTCACACTGACCTCCTTCCGAGCTGGACAAACATCCTCACTGAACAAATCCCGCGACTCGGTCTGGAGCTTCAGCTGTTCGTATGCCTTTCGGGACTGTTCCAGAACCCGTTCCAACAGATCGTCCCGCGGATTGCCCAGCTGTCGCTTCTCGTGTTCATCGTACTGCATCAGCAGGTCATGCTGGCCGGAGAACAAACTACCGGACACGTTGACCGAGCTTTCTTCCGTTGAGCTCTCCGGAATCTCCAATCCACCGGCACTGTCGGAAGTGCGATGCCGTTGTGAAGTTCGCGTTTTCGGCTTCCGCTGAGTGTACGATTTACGGGGTCGGCCACTTGCCCGTTTGGCACCTCGGCATGATTTTTGCGAACATTCGACTACTTCGTCTTGAGCTGGAAGGGAAGAACAGGTTTTGGTGTACAGACTTCACGAGGATTAATCAATGGAATGCTTACAAAATTCCATAGTTTTCAAATTTGAGTCGACAGTTTGCGTAAACATGTGGCCTGTTGATGCGTGAGTATAGCTTGTGAAAATCCAATGGCGGTAAGCTCCTACTCGAATTAACTTTTAATACCGTCCTTGTATGGATGATCTGCAAAGTGTTTGCATAGAGTCGTGTTGATTAACTCTGATGTCGACATCAAGGCAGCCGGACATTCTTGATCAGGATTTAATCCGAGTATAATACCGGTTGGAGCTTACCACCATAAAGGGCCACCCACATTAAATCCGTTTGCGTTGCGTTGACGTTAATTTGACAGTTAGACAATAGATTTAGCTGTCACTTTGCCGCAACGTGTCCGATCTGGATCTAATGTACGTGGGCCAGGAAGAGGAGACAATTTCTTTGGTACAAGCAGTGTAAATATTTACCTTATTTGACAGAACCCAGGTAATCATGACGTTTGATTATTGAAAACAATTTGAATGAAGAAAAGAGACCTACTGCTGGCATGATTACCTGGGTTTTTGTCAAATAAGGTAAATATTTACATTGCTTGTACCAATGAATATGGGGCTTTTTTTGAACCAATTTTTTTTGTCAAACGCGAACCAGTGTTTGATTGGTCGGGTGAACGTTTAGAAACGCGAGAAGTTTTACAACATGGAATCTTTTTTCTTGTATTTTGAAATAGTATGAAATAGTTTTTGCCTAAGAGAAGAGGTGACACTATGGGGGAAAAATTAACCACTTTTCTGTCAAACGTGAATCAGCTCGTAATTGGCTGATTTGATGTATTTATGTATTTATGTATTATTATAGCATACTTTAACACCGTGATAAAATTTACAATGTTAGTTGGGAAGCTCCGTCAAGGTGATGCAATCCATACAAAAAGATTCCGACCGTCCTAACGACCTAAGTATGAAGCTGGAAGGAACCACAGCCGATGAGGTGGTGCTAGGTATGCTTTGGAGGCCACAAAGCGATGAATTCTCCTTTTCCACCCACATGAATCCTGAGATTCATCTACTGATAGAGGACGAAACCACAGACAAACAGACGTAACTCTTCATTGTGTATCTTCGTTCACGCATTTAACGGTTGATTTGAATATTATCAGTTCCGCGAACTACTCGCCGCAGCGCTGGTATCGGATCACTTTGACGTTTCTATACATTCTATAGAACTTTTATGCAATATTGTTTGCGAGTTATCGAGCAAGCTTGTTTTCCGCGAGAATCCCGAGAGATGTCGTTACTGAGGTCGTATGTTTTGAGATATATGTTTTCAAGAAAATCTTTTTCAAAGAGTTACGTCTGTTTGTCTGTGACGAAACGATTCCAACCAAAAGGCAAGTGTTGAGGGCGGTGATGACTGTTTTCGATCCATTAGGACTCATTTCCTTTTTCACGGTACATGGGAAAATTCTAATTCAAGAAATTTGGAGAACTGGAACGGGATGGGATGAACACATAAGCCAGGACTTGTTCGTTGATTGGCAGAGATGGAGTCGAGCACTTGGTGAATTAGGAAAGGTGGCAGTTCCCCGATGCATGTTTCCGGAAAAAATTAACCAACCCGTCACGAAGGTCGAACTGCACACCGTCGTTGATGCGAGCAAGTCGGCTTATGCTTGCGTCGTGTACATCCGGTACCTCTTAGGTGATGAGGTAAAATGTTCTCTGGTAACAGCCAAGAGCAAAGTTGCGCCTTTAAAGCCACTCAGTATACCTAGGCTGGAATTACAAGCCGCTCTCATTGGAGCTCGCCTAGCGACGAACGTCTGCGAGATAATCTCGATACCTATAACACGACGAGTCTTCTGGTCGGACAGTACGACATGCTATCGACTAAGCTATCGAGGTGCAGTCCTCTATACAATCTCGCGGTATTTCTGGATGAGAACGGAGTGATGAGGATTAGAGGTCGTATAGGGGGCTGTACCTCAAATCCCCCACGAAGCTAAGTATCCCATTCTTCTCCCTAAGGATCACCCCGTAACGCTTCTGTTAATCGACAGGTACCATCGACGTTATCTTCACAGCAATCGTGAAACGGTTGTAAACGAGGTGCGCCAACGCTTTTGGATTCCGAAGCTCAGGGCGGTGGTACAACGAGTGAGCAAGGACTGCCAGTTCTGCCGGATCCGCAAAGCATCAGCTCAACCTCCAGTAATGGGACCTCTGCCTAAAGTGAGACTGACGCCATTCATCAGGCCGTTCACCTACACCGGACAGGATTATTTTGGTCCTATACTCGTCAAGGTAGGACGCGGCTTGGTCAAACGGTGGATTGCACTTTTTACGTGTCTGACAATACGTGCAGTCCACTTGGAAGTGGTCCATTCGCTGAACACCTCCTCATGCATCAAGGCTATCAGAAGATTTGTGGTCAGAAGAGGGGCCCCAGACGAGATATATTCCGACAACGGAACGTGCTTTGTCGGAGCCAACCGACAATTCTAGATAGAGCTGGAATTAGGGCGTAACAGCTTTTGTAAACAATGACTTCTATCGATGATTTCTAGGAATTCAAGGCTCTTCAACGCAGACGAACCCAACCATCGGATAGGGGAAGTATTTCCCTACCCGTTGAGGATGTTAGTTTGTGTGGGCGAGCCTTGAATTTCTAGAAATCATCAAGAGAAGTCATTGTTTACAAGAGCTGTTAGGCCCTTATTCCAGCTCTATCTAGAATTGATGGAACAGCTGAGGGAAATCAACGAAGGATGTGCGAGCGTTTTTACAAATGCGAGAACCAAGTGGTTGTTTAACCCTCCCGCAGCTCCTCACATGGGTGGAGTGTAGGAGCGAATGGTACGCTCCGTGAAAGTTGCAATGGCAGCTGTAGCAGGAGCACCACGCCATCCCGACGATGAAACTTTGGAGACAGTCGTACTAGAAGCGGAAGGCATCGTGAACACACGACCCCTCACATACGTGCCCTTGGACGTGGCCACAGATGAAGCATTAACCCCAAACCACTTCCTGTTGTACGGAAATAGAGGGGTTACTCAACCAAGCACGGAGTTTGTGGCACCTTGTCAAACATTGAGGGACAGCTGGAAACTTACTCAGCACTTGGCCGACGAGTTCTGGCGTCGCTGGGTTAGAGAGTATCTTCCAGTTTTGAGGAGACAAGTGAAATGGTTTGAACCGACCAAACCCTTGGAAGCCAATTACTTGGTCATTGTCATTGAGGAATCAGCACGGAATCATTGGGAGCGTGGAGTTATTACCGAGATCTACCCAGGATCGGATGGTCATGTGCGGTCGGCGATGGTCCAGACCAGTACTGGCATTAAGAAGAGGCCCGTAACGAAGCTTGCATTACTGGATGTCAGGAAGGCTCAGAGCAAAGAAGATGATCGTGGTTCCCAGCAACACGGGGCCGGGTATGTTGAGAAAGCCCCTCGATTGGGCAACGGAGAGGTGTAACTGGGAACACTGCACGATCGAAGAGGTGTGTCAAAAAAGAGAGAGTGAGTAGAAACGAAGGACAGAAAACAAACGTGTTCACAATTTAGAATTTCATTTTGCGCGATTATATCTCAAATCAGAAAGCTAGTTCTGAACTCGAATAATTGAATGTAAGATCGAGAGTTGTTCAAGTAAGAGAAACCATTCCAAATGTTTTCGCTAATCCTAATTACTTTTATTTACTAGGATAAGATACCCACAATTTCGGGTGGGTTAGTTAGGTTAGGATACAAAAGAGAACCGTTTTGTAAGTATGTAGCCTGTTGAACTCTGTAAAATCATAACCTAATGTTCAAATAAATTGCAGCCTTAAAGTTTCTCGAAAGCAAACTAAAGGACGGATCGCATTTGACTACTTTCTCTGCAACAGTCATCTCTTCCTCTTAGGTTTTTGCACGGTCGTTTCCGCGAGAGAAGAACTCGTCACAGACAAAAAGAAGCCAGTTGTCTCCTCATCATCAAAGGAAAAGAGCCTGAATTTATAAAGAGACGACATCTTATCCATTTGACAGGTCTTCTGCTCGATTGGAATGACTTTTCCTATGACTTTGACAGACAATCGATTGTTCCAATTTTGACATATCGCCTCTTTATAAATTTAGGCTCTTTAATCAAAGGTGTAAATTGTTTACATACACGCTAACTTGAAAGTACACCCATTAAGGGTACAAAATACCAATTTTACAAAAAAGTGAGGTTAACCCAAAAGGCCTTTTTAATGCAACACCAATGTATTGCGTATTTCACACCAAACTGGACTAATAAGTGCGTTTTCACTTATTAAAAAGTGTGATTAAAGTGCGAGCTTCCGTCTAATCGTCTTGGTGTCTTCGGTGCACTTATTTCTTATGATGCAAGTAATAAGTGCTCCGAAGACACCAAAACGATTTGACGCAAAGGTGCACACTTTTTGCATTTTTGGGGCAGTCCAGTTTCAGACGCAATCAGCAATACACAGTAAACAAAATTATTATCGATAAACGTATTTCAAGCTGATCTACGAAATAATGATGGAATAGCAAAACGCACATACAATATTACATGATATTACCAACAATCAATATGAAACTAACGATTTTAAATTGGCTCACTACTTGACTACCCGCATAAACGTGAACCATAAATTGACCTTACCTAAAATGGTTAAAAATTGTTTATAATCCCTGCTAAACTTTAACTGAAATGGTTATAGAACTTTACATGAACGTTTAATAATAAAGTTTCAACCTTATGTATTATGGTTTTTTGGAACTGGACCTTACAAATAATGGGTTGTTAAGAACCATTACCATTCCAAATTCTTGTTTTCTCCATACATTTTCAGAAAGAGAATTATATAAGAACGTTTTTACTTATGATTTGAGAATATTAATGGTAATGGTTATGGTAGTCAGTAAGGTCCATTAATGGTTTTGTATTATCGCTCAACTTTACGTGGAATATATCGTGAATTGGTAATCAGTAAATTACAGGCAACCAATTCGCGATATATTCCATATAAAGTTGATCGATGTTACAAAACCATTCGTGGACCTTACTGACTACCATAACCATTACCATTAAAGTTCTCAAACCATAAGTTAAAAGGTTCTAATATAGTTCTCTTTTCGAAAATGTATGGAGAAAACAAGAATTTGGAATGGTAATGGTTCTTAACAACCCATTATTTGTAAGGTCCAGTTCCAAAAAACCATAATACATAAGGTTGAAACTTTATCATTAAACGTTCATGTAAAGTTCTATAACCATTTCAGTTAGAGTTTAGCAAGGATTATAAACAATTTTTAACCATTTTAGGTAAGGTCAATTTATGGTTCGCGTTTATGCGGGTAGCCTATTGGTCCCAAGCAAACGATTAACGTATCCCATTCTAG